CGACCCCTTCTTCGCCCCTCCCTCCCCGCACGCCTTCCTCCTCCACGACCTCACGGACCGCGTGGCGGCCCTGGAGCTCGCGGCCCGCGCGGCGGCCCCGCAGCCGGCGCGCCGCAAGTACACCTACGCGGCCACGGAGCCCGGCGGCCGCAAGGTGAAGTGGACGGCGGAGGAGAAGCCGCGGGGCGGGGGCCGCGCGCTCAAGTGGGAGGCGGAGCTCGCCTCCCCCAACGACGACGGCTTCGACCGCAAGTGGCGGTGGGAGGCCAAGTCCAAGCCCGGCGGCAAGGCCAAGACCAAGTGGGGCACCGAGATCAAGGGCAAGGGCTCGCTCCAGCCATGGTCGCACGCCTACACCTGGGAGGAGGACTTCGCCGCCTCCGACGACGACGACGACGATGTGCTGGAGATCGAGGAGCGCAAGCCGGAGAAGAAGAAGAAGGAGGACAAGCCCAAGAAGATCAAGGAGAATGACGACAAGAAGAAGAAGAAGCCGGCCAGGACGTGCGTCCAGATCGAGGAGATCCCCGAGGACAACTCCGCCGGCTGCGACGCCATCCGCAAGGTACCCACCACGATTGGTTACGATGGGGAAAAGAAAAGTTGAGATTTTTGTGGGATTTGGGTTCTGTGGCCCGATCTGAACGAAATGTGTGATTCATTCCCAGTAGATTTCCGACAGATCCATGGGTACCTCTCGCTAGATTTATGAGAAAGATTGGAATTTTAGAGGATGCTAGTGTTCACACTCTAGATCAGCTTGAGGATTCTGCTCCCTTGCAATGTAGTACTACTGTCATATGTGTGTACTGATCGCCTGACATTTGTTTCCCTTCTGTTCTGATGATGCAGGCGTTTGCCATGGGGAACGGCAAGGGGAAGGCCAAGGAGCTGTCGCCGCAGGACGCCGCGCTGCTCATCCAGATGAACTACAGGGCGCACCTCGCCCACCGCTCCCAGGTGCTCCGCTGCCTGCGCGACCTCGCCGTCGCCAAGGCCAAGCTCAAGGAGCTCAGGTCCCTCTTCTACAACCTCTCCTACAGGCGCCGCCTCTCGCATGACCACGAGGAGCGCCAGAGGTTCTCCGAGAAGATCATTGTCCTGCTGCTCACTGTCGATGCGCTCGAGGTGAGCTTTGCCATGACCTGTTTATCATTGCTGATTGACGTGGCTGTGTTGTGGATTTGAAATTCAGTTACTGCATACACTCGTTAACACTATATTACTAGTGAGACAACAGAAAATCAAAGCACACCGGGATGATTACCATGCTATTTAGCTGAGCATCTGTCCAACATAATGCACCTGAGATGATATCCATCATCACCTGTTCGTCATTGCCATGGCTGTGTTGTGAATTTAAATTTACTTGCTGGTTAGTACGTACATTGTTGGTTTGAGGATGGTCTATCAGGGTTCTGTACATAAGTATGGTTTTCTAGCAGTGCTTTAGTGTCTGAATGTATTGGTTAGCGATGCGTCATCATTGAAAAATAAATCAAAGCACACTACAAAGATTAACATGCTATTGAACATCTGTTCTTGTCACTGATGAGTGTGCATGTATATGTGCTCAACCAAGTATGTAGTTCCTGTTAACGCATATTTATTTATTTATATATGTGCTAGAATGGGTGTCAGCACTTCTCAGTATAGAGATAAATATCATATTGACGAGTAATGTTTGATCTCTGTTCTCAGTAGTATCTTCGGTGCTTCGATAGGTCCAAGCATGATAATATTCTTACGTTCGGTGCCGTTGCATGTTTCCCAGTTATGATTTCTAAGTAGTATCTTTTGTTTCAGCTTATGATTTCTAAGGCCATGTTTTTATTGAGTGTAGTGAAGGAGAATGCAGTCTTGGAATTTCTTGTGATAACTGAATAGTTTTCTGTCATCCCGCCTTTGCTCCTGGAGGAGCTTGTGAACTGAAATGATGCTCCTACGTGCCAATTCATCTGCTGCTGTGTTCATAACTCTCATAATTTCCGAACTCGAAATAGCCAGCATATTCTTCTGTTATCTTTCAGTCCTTTATGGGTTGCTTCCTATCATTGTATTATCTTCCAGTAACCTTATTCCTTGGCAACTAATCTTATTCCCTCTCTGCCCAGGGACCTGACTTCATGGTGAGGACGGCGAAGAAATCTATGTTGGAGGAACTGGAGAGCATGCTGGAGATCGTGGACCCGCAGCCTCCAGGGAAGCAGAGGTCGTTCAGCCGCCGCAAGTTTGATCTTCCTGAGGGCGGAGCGATCCCGAACGAGAAAGCTGCAGGCGTGAACAATGCTGTCAGGGTCATCAACACTGGCAAGAGCAAGCAGTAGGCACTAGCACCTAGTTTAGTGGCTGGTACCATGGTCGATCGATGGAGCTTGTAGCGCCGCCGCGTTGTCTGTGAGATAGTCCGGTTCATCTTAGATTTCCAGTGTCTTTGAGATTTGAGAAGGATTGAACTTGTCGTGCACCATTGTTCGGGATGTCGTAGCGTGTATGATCCGTATCGTTTTGTTTGGACTTGTTGTACTGTATGGTGTTGTTGAACTACCAGTAGAAGAGTTTGGTGCTTTAAGTGTCAGCTTCTCTTCTGGCTGCCGCCCTCATGTTTTGAGCTCCATGGAAGTTCAGTCCTGGTTATTTTTAGGGGTGACAACACATTATTCCTAACTTGTAGGGATATGCACAGTTTTTCATTTTTGCACAGTTTTTCTTGGGTTTTCTTGTTTGCCTTTTCTTTTCGGCTTTTAGTTTCTTTCTTTAGTTTTCTTTGTTAGTTTCAACGGTTTCTTTGTTTTTCTTTGTATCCTTCTCGGTTTTCACTCTTTTGCATTGGTTTTCTTTGTTTTTTTTACTTCTTACAGGGTTTCTTTGTTTTTCTTTGTTTCTGTGTCGATTTCATCGGTTTTCTTTTTGTAATACACATGTCAACTTTTTTCAGTACACATTATATATTTTCCATATTTGTCAGAAACATATTTTATATACATGTTTAACATTTTTTGAAAAATAATTTATTATTTCTAATTTTGTCTATGCACATTGTATATTTTTGGTATATATGTAATACAATTTTATATACACATTTTACATTTAAAAATACAGGATTAACATTTTTTCAATACATGGTTAAAAAATTCAAAAGACAGAAAATATTTTTTCAATGGCAAAAAATATTTTTTCGCATACAATGTACATTTTTGTACTCACCAGGAGCATTTTTATACACAGTTAATTTTTTTAAATACATTATAAACAATTTTTCATGCACATTGTTTTTTTATATATTTGTCGTGTACATGACAAACATTATTTCAATAAACATTTAACATTTTTCAAATGTTTGATGATTTTTTTAAGTGATTAATTAACATTTTTTTAAATACATGATTAACCTTTTCCATACACATTGTAGTTTTTTGCATACATTTTCCTTATACATGAGAAAAATTTCTCCATTCACATTAAATTTTCCAAATGCTTTGTTAAGATTTTTTCAAATGTTTTATGTAATGTTTATTGTATTATAAATATTTACAATATTTGGAATTATAAAAAAACTACAATAGAAAGCAATAAATAAATAAATAATGTTTTATGTAATGTTTTATTTAGTGGATGAGCTCAGTTCTTACATGGGTCTCACATCTCCTTCTCTATTAAAAATAAGTAGGGGCTTCTTCCCCCTACCGGTCTAGTTTTTTTAATAAATAAATAAGCAGGAGCAAAATAGAGAAAAAAAAACGAGGCAGTGGCCTGTGGCCACCCTCACTGGGCCGGGCCATTTAAGGAGCCGCTTGCTGTGAGCGCAACTTAGGTGTCGCTATAAGCCAAACATTTTTTTATTCTAAACATACTTTGCTCTTTTAAGTAATCAAGTGATACAATGTAAGTCCGGAGGATTTATGAGCCACACATGGCGCCCGACATCCAAACCAAAAGCAAGTTTAGCGAGACTATGTGCCTCGAAGTTTGACTCTCTCCCTTCGAAGATGAAGGTTCATTATTGAAAATTCTTCGATCTTTCCAAAATCTCCTTGATGATGTTTGTATAAATGCCTCCAGTGTTGTTCTTGATGTCATGAACTACACCTTGGCAGTCTGATGCCACTAGCACATGTGATAGCGCAAGATCTGTAGACATGGCGCACCCCATAGGAGTGGCTTCGCTGAAGCCTACGCGAATGGGCTAGCCAACTTTGGGCACAAGCTGTTTGTTTATATTTTCCTCTTCGTTTTTTTCTTCGGGTTTTCACTGAAAAAATAGCTATTATTTTCTAGAAATATTTTTGTAACCTATTAAAAATACAAAATTATATTTTAAAAATTATTTGGTATATGTTTTATGAAAGTTCTGCGTATATTAAAAAACCACCATTTATTCAGAAAATATTTGCTGTGTATTAAAAAATGCTCATTATATATTAAAAAATTTAATTGATATAAAGTAAATATTCATCATGTATAAAAAAAGTTCAGTGTGTGTTTTGAAAAATGTTCACTTAATACTAAAAAAAGTTATTGTCTATTTGAAAAACTCACCGTATGCTGAACACAAGTGCATTTGAATTTTTTTCACCGTATAGTACAAACCTATAAAATTAGAAAAAATTGAAAACCCGAAATAACAGTGAACCCAAGATCTCCAAAAGAAAAAAAACGGAAAGAGAAGAGAAAAAAAACAAAGTAAAAAATGAAACAGAATCAGCTAGGTAAGTGGGCCGGTCCATCTAGAGGTTTTCTTCAGTGAAGGCTCCCCTGTATGATGAACACGGGTGGTGAGCGCCGCTTTGCATCCCTACTAGCTTATTTTCTTAGAATTATTGGATTATTGCATAACAAGGAGAGAGAGGAATGCATGAATAATGTTGTACGTCTAGTATTTATGGTTACTTTAGATTTGTGGTTAGTTTTGAATAACACATAATAACTTACATCTCTTTGCCCCAATATATTTCCAAATTCACTATCATTTTATTGTAAAAATGGGTAGGCGCGACAACCCGCGCCATCATCGTCTAATAAATAATCTAAACCAAAACAATTGATTCAGCCATTGAATAAATCTACCGAACATTGGTCAACCACCCCATTACTCTTATCAGAGGAGGATCTAACTAACTTAAAGTCTCCTCCGATCAAAGTATGGCTAAACCAGTAGTTCATCACATTATGTAGTCCCTTGACAAAATCTAGTTTATGTTCCTCATATGTGGGAGACATGAATATAAATGAACCTCTTGTCAGCTTTGCTATCTCTTAGATTTATTGGATTATCGCATCTTAACAAGCAGACTGCATATCAAGAACATAAAACAGAAATCAAACTTTATTCAACTGCGCAATTGAGCGGAATTATGAAATTGAAAAAATTGAGGAAAGCTAGCAGCATCTCTTTGGGATGGTGAGGTGGCCGGCCATGTGCCAGCCCTCTCCTCCGTCAGGGTACATGTAAGGGCACGCCGGCCTGAATGGGGTGCTGCCCTTGGCGGCGAGCATGTTCCACTGCTCATTGGGGTCGTCGGTGGCGAACTTGGTCCACGTCGGAGTGGAGTACTCGTAGCGACTGTGCGTGATGCGGTGGAACTCCTGGATGTCCTTGTTCTTGGTGATGTCATCAGTGTCGCGGAGGTCGACCGAAAGGATGTCGCCGTAGGGCCTAACGGAGTGCAGGAAGACGGGCATCGAGATCGGCTCGTTGGAGACGGCGGCGAGGTCGGAGGCGAAGACAATGCTCCTCATGTCGGGGCTGAAAATAGGGTGGTTAACGTGTCCCGCGAGGGTAGCCGAGCTCTGCACCACGCGCACCACCACCGTGGGGTCGCTGACCTTCACCAGGTACACGGCGAAGTAGCCCGCGTCGAGGAAGGCCATCCCCGGCGCGCTGGCCGGCATCTCGCGCGTGGAGGAGAAGACGACCCAGTCCCCCTTGGGCGACCAGCTGCAGTGGGTGTCGGTCCACGGCCCGTCGGTGAGCCGTGTCACCGTGCCCTGGCCGAACTCCCCCTCCTCCGCGTCCTCCATGATGTAGAGGTTCTTGTGGAACTTGTCCTTGCCGCCGTCCCTCGTCGACCGGAACACGAACTTGTCCCCCTGCGCGTTGCTCGACGGGAAGGCGTTGTTGAAGTTCCCGGCGGTGAGGCGCTGCACCTTCCGGCCGGCGGACGGCCCGGACACGTTGGAGATGGCGTAGATCTCCAATGGCTTGGCGGCGGAGAAGGACGGGCCCACGCAGACGTACAACGTGTCCTTGTCCGGGTTCTGGTTCCACGCCGTTGAGAAGACGCTGTTGGAGCCCCGCTTCTGCAAGTGTTTGTTGGGTGAGAATTGGTATTGATTCTTTCTACTTCTTGAGGGACAATGGTGGATAGATAGATACGATACCTCATAGACGACGCGCAGGCCTTGGGTGTCGGCAAGCCACACGGCCTTGAACTCGTTGTCGACGAAGGCGAGCTTGGCGCCATCCTTGGAAATGGTTGGGAACACACCCGACACCCGGAACAGCCCCACATCTGTGTGAGGGGAGTGCATCTTGTCGAAGCTCTTGTTAGGGGCAGAAAGATTATTCTGCATCCATGTCATGCCATGTTCATCGGTAAGTAATCATGATGATCGATTGTTTAAATATAATACTCCCCCTGTTCACTTATATAAGACGTTTTAGCAAATTCAGACAGTGTACTAAATAGTTCAAACCCAGCTGTCTGAAACGCCTTATAAAAGCGAATGGAGGGAGTAGTATTATTATCCAACACTTGTCATAATTTTATCTTGTATGTGCATATATACATATAATTATGATTAATCAAATAAGATAAAAGGTAGCGAAATATGTCTAATTCTATAGGCATAAATAGTTGATGCTCACTACTTCTATTTCTTTCAGCATATACACACACATGCCACCTCACATCCCACTAATTATATTTCTCTCACCATATATGAGAAATGCTATTTATTTTGTTTCTCAATATGCATATATCGCAACTCACCACACATGTCATCTTATCAATCTCACTACATATTTTTGTGCGGGGTAATCCCTGCTTATATTTCTCTCTACATGCATGAGAAATACTCCTACTAACAACCATATGATGATTAAATATAATAAATCGTGTGTATTTCCATTTTCTATTTTCGTATCCAAATCTCATCAATATATGTTGCAACAAATTTTCATAGCAACACGCGCGGCATCATTTATTTATCTGTCTCAGCTACATTTCTAAGTGTTCGGATCAACATCCAACCATCCAGATATAAAATCACTATATTAAAATTAACATGAAAACCAAAAGTTGCACAAAATGTTTAACTGAAGTTGCACGCTTGAGAGTGTGTAATTTTAGTTGGTTGAAATTTATAAGTAAATTGAGAATTAGCAAAAGGGAAGACATGCGCACCCCAATGACGAGATCGTCGGTTCTGACCCGATGGTAGCCGATGCGGCTGCCGCCGTCGGCCACGAAAGGGTTGTAGTGGTCGCCTTTCGGCCTGATCTTCTGGCTGATCTGCACGGCGGGGCGGTCCGGCGACGCGACGTCGAAGATCTCGATGTGGCGGTACTGCGCCTCCTCTCGCGGCGTGGTCATGGCGGCCTGCCTAGACTTCTGGCGGATGGCGGCCACGGCGACCCTGGTCTCGCTGATGGCCGCGGGGGTCATGGCGTCGATGGCCTCGGGCGTCACCCGGACGGTCTCCTTGGTGGCCATGTCGTAGCGGAACACGGCCCAGTTCGTCGGGGACTCGCCGGTCCCTCGGTGGAAGAAGATGACGTTGTCGCTGCCCCACGTCGGCCACCCGCCGTCCCGGATGAGGATCCTGCGGCGCAGGCCGCCCTGCGCCGTCCTGTCCACGTTCATGACGGCGATGTCGGTGTTGAGGCGCTCGATCTCGCCCGTCCACTTGTTCCCGCGGAAGTTGGCCACGGCCACCATCTTGCCGGAGGGCGACACGGCCGGGCTGACGTCGTACTGGCCTGGCGGGGTGAGGCGCTCGGTCTTGCCGTCGGCGAGGTTGGTCCGGTACACCACGGTCCAGGGCGTGCGGCGCCTCGTCACCGGCTCCTTGGTGGAGACGTAGACGAGGGAGTGGCCGACGGCGCGAGCGCCCACCTTGAAGCCGCCGGCGACGCAGCCGCTGTCCTCCATCCGCGAGCCGCCGAAGGTGCCGGCGCCATAGACGTCGCCCAGGCTCAGCACCTTCACCGCACCACCTTCGCCTTTGGGGCGCACAAGGGCCACGTGCAGCGTCTCGAGCCCCTTGTCCCTCTCGGAGACGAAGACGAGGCCGGCGACGCGGCCCTGCTCGGCGTCGTCCGGCGTGGCGCCGCACTCGGCGGCGAGCGCGGGGTTCTTCTTGCCAAGGAACGTGAGGAGCTCCTTGAGCGCGGCCGCCGGGATGGCCCGGCCGTTCTGGTTGTAGGACACGCCGTCGGTGAGGTGGTGCTCGTCCTCCCGCGAGGACGGCGGCGGGTCGGCCGGGCAGGAGTAGATATCCAGTGGCACTGGCGGGCGGTAGGTGCCGAAGAAGGCGATGCTGCCACGGCCGCTGTCGTCGCTCCCCATGGCCGGCCGGCGCGGAGTCGATCGAGCAAGAATGAAACGAGTTTCTGTTGGTTTGCTCACGCCGGAAGCTGCTTGATTTATAATGACACGCAAGCAGGACTTCAATACCTTAAATTAAAAAAAGAACTTATAGCTGCTGATAATATATTTTTTTGCACATAAGCTGATAATAATTTCTATCCGGTTATTTTATAGTACGTACTAATCAATGACTAATGTGTGGTGTGGATTTTTGGAACCTGGGTGTAGGCGCACCTGATTAACCAAAAAGAAATGAAAAAAAAGTAAAAGAAATCAAAAGAAAATGTGAAACTTGTTCGGAACAAGCATTGTCTAGTGTATTACTCAAGTGAAAAGTTTCGGGATAAAATGATTTCTATGGTAGTGTTGGCAAAAAAGTGCCGCACCGCACATTAGTCATTGTCTAGTGTATTACTCATGTGTAAAATTTTGGGACAAAATGGCTTGTTGGCAAAAAAAATTAAAAATTGCAAGTATAAACTGTGTGTATACCAAGTTTAATATACTGCCAGTTTTGTTTTTATTCGTTCAGAATGCCACGGAAGTCATTTTGTCGCGAAACTTTACATGTGAGTAAACCACTAGACAATGCTTGTTCGGAACAATTTTCAATTTTTTTAATCATTTTTTTGATTTTTATTTCAATTTGGGTGCATCTAGTCCGAGGTTCCGTTGTGTATTTTCAATGACTAATGCCTCATTATTAATCCACCGATGAGTAAACTAATAAGTCCCTTGAGTGGTACATATAGAGTAAATGATTGGTGTTGATTGTAGTTTGCATTTAGTCATAATTGAAGCCACAAAGTTTCAGTTTTTTTGATTTTATTTGCAACTTATTTTTACTGTTCATTGTGAATACAATGCAGCCAGTTTTCGAAAAACCACACTATCGCAAACAGTAATATCTCTTGTGCTATCTTAAAACTGTTATGATAAGTAGATGTGAGTAAACCATCTTAAGAGTTCTGTCTAGAAAGTCTTTAGTTTAGTGGCTGTTTGGGAGAGCTGTGTTCCCGGTCCCAGGGCTGATGCTTGATGTGGTTTTGCCTTTTTGCTCTTCTCCTTTTGTGGTTTGCTTGTAAAAATTGGCGGTTCTATAATGAAAACCATCCAGCGACCTTAGATTTTGAAAGCCTCACAGTTCTTTTTCTCTCTCACTTCATTCTCTAGGTTATGAAAGGTTTTTTGGTGATATCGAGGAATAAAAAATGCATGAATTTCGCAGGAAGAAAAATGCCTAAAATTGCCATTGCAAAACAATAAATAAAAGAAAGGCAAAAACCACATAAATTTGCAAGGCC